CAAAGCCAGACTGGCCTTTGAAGTCACTTGCATCCCTATTCAGTGGTATTCTCTTTCAGTCACGCTATTCAAATGAGTCAGCAATGTCGTGCATATACAGGTTCTATGACTAATCCATTTTATTTAGCAACCAGGAAATCCCTCATTTGTGATGCTAAAGAAGGAAAACCAGGGTTAGCGCCAAAACATTTATTGAATTTTTTTGTGCGTGTACGTGAAAAAAGCTGTTTTGTCCTTTCAGTGGAACTGAATTAAACCTCGCATGATTTTCTAGCCAGGATTGTTGAATATCGCGAGTGATGAACTTCATCAGCTGCAAACGACCACGATGAATCGTAATTGAACAAAAAGAAAAGGAAAATCTCAGTTTTAATATTTTATCAGTTTTCCTGGCACCACAACAGAAGTTTTCTAGGGGTATAAAGTTCGTATGCTATCTTTTCCAATTCGATCAAAGACATTCGCGACTCATTTGACTCCCGAGTGCCGTTAAAGAATTCCAAGTATCCCTTCGTAAAATCGTCACCTATGGGAAAAACACAAATGGTGTGATATGCAAGAAGACGATCTGAGGAGAGAAATTATAGATTCTGTCATCGTGGCTAACTGCTTTTGACATATATGATAATTCTCTGCATTTAACTGATAAGAAGATTTAAAAGAACTCGTTAAAATGGAATAAATCAATGTTAAAAATTCAAAATGCTCTACATGACTCCCGTTGCACATTCATTTTTACTTCTACGAGACAGAATTATTGAAACCGTCTCCCTAAAACAGTTTGCATGTAATTTTTGATCTATTTTTAACGAGATTGGTCTGTTGGGTATTTCCTAAACGTTGCTATTATTCATTAAAAGAATTCGTAAGTGGTCATGAATCTTAAAAGCACTTCGATGTGTTTATTTTTCATCAACCGTCACAGTCGATGCGAATGGACGTTTCTTTGCCGAAAGGAAACAATTGACAGTTGTTGTATGATAAAATAATAATAATAACAGACAGTTCTCTCAGCGAGATAGAAAGGGGTCTTTTTTATTACATGATTATTTTAACGTGAATTAATAAGCAATGAAATAATAGGATGCTCTGTTTTTCAGCTGCACACTTACAGCGTTTTTACCCGGCCGTCATAGGACGCTGTTAAAAGCTGATGATTTTGAACAAAATGGCTTTTTTTCCTGGAACTTCTCGTAAATAACACCCACTGAATGTAATAATTTTTTTTCTACAAAGGAACAAGCGAATAGCAGTGAGTCCATTTATTACCAGTATGAATGATACACAGCACGACAACTCAACAAGGTAAGGGTAGAATTTCTGTTTAATGTTTTATAGTTTTATGAAACATCATATAACTGAAACTCCACGTGGAAACCTTTACCACGAAAGAGGTTGACAAGATTTGCAAGAGAGAGAGCTTCGCGATAGTCTAGTCTGAGAGCTTCATAGCAACGAGAAATAATTTTTGTTGCCGAGACTAGCTATGCTATTTGTGGGTAGTGGTTGATTATGTCAAGTTAAGTTTAACGCCCTTAGAATTAGAATAAAGGAACTTTTGTAGACTATTGGTACCTCTGAACCCAAGAAAATAAAGGAAAGGAAAGAACCTCTGTTGAATCTGCGGTGTAAAGAAGAATGAAAATTTTGTGGCAAAAATTAATTTCCCGAATAAGTATACAGATGTGATATCCATGTTTACCGAAAAGAGATTTTGATGGGTTTAGCGGGGTTTAAGTGACTGGTTGCAAAATTCAGGGATTATGAAATCACTCTCAATTGCATGTTCAAAAAATTTACCCCGCCTTTTCCGATAGAATGGCACAGTTTAATCCAG